ATTTCTGCTGCATAGGAGTCATAACTTTCTGGTCCAATTAGTGTTTCAGAGCCTGTTGGTCAGTTTTGATGATGAACTTATGACCCTATAAGTAATACCTCCACCTTTGCACAACCATGAGGACAACTAAGAATTCCCTCTCATAGATTGACAAAGCTTGATTCCTAGGACACAACATTTTACTCATATATGCAATAGGTTGTCCCTGTTGTATTAGGACAACCCCAATTCCCTTACCACTAGCATCAGTCTCAAGTGTGAATGGTTTGTTATAATCTGGTAGTGCAAGAACTGGTGCCTTGGTCATGGCTTCCTTGAGGGTATGGAAAGCCTTGTCAGCCTCTAAATTCCACTTGAATTGATCCTTCCTGAGCAGATCAGTAAGTGGCTTGCTGATTATCCCATATCCCGTAATGAATTTTCTGTAATAACTAGTAAGCCCTAGGAACCCCCTGAGTTGCTTAATGGTTTTAGGAATAGGCCAACTTACCATACTTTCAATTTTCTGAGGGTCAGTAGAAACCCCTTGCTGAGAAATTATGTGACCCAGGTATTCAATCTTCTCTTGAGCAAATTGGCATTTGCTCATCTTGGCATAAAGATGATTTTCCAAAAGTACATTAAGAACCTACCTTAAATGTTGTATATGGTCAGCCCAAGACTGACTGTAGATTAGAATATCATCAAAAAACACTAGTACACTCCTTCTCAGATAGTCCCTGAACAATTTGTTCATCAATGACTGCAATGTGGTTGGTGCATTGCACAGCCCAAAATAACCTTGAACTCATAATTCCCATTATGTGTTCTGAAAGCAGTAAGGTATCTGTGAGCCTTGTCCATAAGAATTTGAAAGTACTCTGATCTGAGGTCTATCTTTGAGTAGTATTTAGCCCCTTGCAACTCATCTAGAAGCTCATCAATAACATGAATAGGGTAATCATGCTTCACTGTGAGTCCATTTAGATACCTGTAGTCCACACAAAGCCTCCAGGTAGCATCTTTCTTCTTCACCAAAATCACAAGAGATGCAAAAGGGCTTTTGCTATCTTGTATAATTCCAGCCTCCAACATTTCTCTTACAATTTTTTCAGTTTCTTCCTTGTGACTGTGAGAGGACCTGTAGGGAAACTGATGTTTGGGTGTGCTGTTGGGTTTGAGTGTAATCTGGTGCTCAACCCCCCTACTGGGAGGCAGTCCTTTGGGCTCCTGAAATACCAATTCATACTCTTTCAAGATCCCCTCAACCTCAATGGAATGGGGTTGAGAATTAGGTTTGGCTAATGCTACCCAATAGACCTCTTCAATGTCATTGTGGCAGTCTTCATGGATTAATTTGAAAAGGGTTGGGCCACTGATGAGTTTGCATTGACTCTCTGTCTTCAGGGCCTGTATTTTAACCCTCTTTCCTCTCAAGGTTACAATAACATGCATCTTCTCATAATCCAGCTTAATGGGAGTACCATGTTTTAGCCAATCCTCCACTAGTATCATATCACAGCCTTCATTGTCTAGCACCCTTAGAGAAAATGAAAAAGTATGTCCCTGCATTTGCCACTCAGCATCCTTTGCCCATTTGCTACCCTCACTAGTATTGGCTTAGCAGGTTTGAGGGTCAAACCTAGATTTTTGGCAGTGCTTGCTTGAATGAAGCTCAAAGTGCTTCCAGAATCAGTTAGGATGTG